AAAGGGGAAAAATGTATAAATAGAAATTGACCAATGTTTTTATAATAATTCTTGTCAGTTTTGTACATTTCGCATCAAAAATGTATATGAAACACTTCAGCAGTGATTGTATGTTTGTAAATGGGTGTGTGTGTGTGTCTGTGTTTCAGACACGCGGAGGTGATGAAGAAGATAATAGAGACGGTGACGGAGAGCGGTGGTGCGATGGCGGTGCACGCCTACCTCATCGTCTTCCTCAAGTTCGTGCAGTCCGTCATACCCACCATAGAGTACGACTTCACGCAGAACTTCTCCATGAACTGACTCCGCCCCCGTCGCCGCACGCCACGCCCCCCGCCACCACACGCCACGCCCACCACACGCTAGCGTACAAACATATTGCATTTTGTATAATTTATGTCATTTAACTGCTGTACACACTCAATAGGTGACTTGGGAATCCCTTAGTGGATATTAAGTAAAAGAAATGTTCACTAAGCTAAGGTTTAAGTATAACTGTCAACATGTTGAGTGTTTAGTGACTTCTGTTTACTTTAATACGTTAAAATTGTATGAGTGAATATGTTATAAAGCATTACCTAAATTAACATTTTATCAAGTTCAAAATTGATATGTATTGTGTTTTGTGATGTATATACGTATATGTTGGCTGCAATTTATTGATATTAATTCGTATATTCCACTAATATTTTTATGCTATTTAATATTATTTATATCGCACAATATGTTATAGGATAATTGTAAAATGCAAACAATGCAAATATTTAATTTATTTAATTCAAAATACTTTTAGCAATGATATTACAGTTCTTAGAAAACAAGATAAAATAAAAACAAGACTAATATTGTATGTATTCATTAAATTCAATATAAATAAAAGTCTATTAATGTATGCTGTTACAAACTAGACAATGATCTCTCAATGTACACAAATGTCATGTTCATGTTGAGTTTCCACTGCAGAAAATCTGTATAAAACATTGTAATATTCGTCTTTAGGAAATTGACATTATAGCGTTATAGAAATCTAAAATTTCTGGAATGAAGCTTGCTGTCTAGTTTTTCTAGCTGTTAGACTTGAGTATGTAATTATATAAATATTTTATTATTATTGTGCAAGAAATATTTTGTCTCTTTCATCGTAAGAACAAATTGCACTAAAGAAAAAGAGACGGAAAACTATTGCACGTTATGCGAGTGTCTTACATTTAATGCAAAAGTAGCTAATGTCTTGCGCATGTTTTAATATGATGTTTATTATTTAAGTTTTATATTTGTGATTAAAAAGTTATTTTGCTAAACAAAGTTTATTATTTTTTATTTATCACCCTCTTTATCTCCAATAACAAATATGTTTGCACAGATTTCTCAATAATGAAACAGTTGAAGCCTTTAAAAAAAAATCAAGTTTTTTCTGTTCTATTGCGAGATGCTGTTCGCTAAGCAAATACTTAGATAATAAGGAAACTAGGTGTTGCCCGCGACTCTGTACGTTATTTAAAAACAGCTTAATTAGTAATTTATATGTTTTTCCAGACTATGTTCTACATCTAGGCCAAATTTCAGCGACATCCATACAGATGTTCTGGAGATACCTGTTAAACATCCATCTATCCATGCAAACATTTATAATATTAGTAAAATTAAATATTTTGAATTGATAAGTTGTTAAGATAAATAAAATAAACATAAATTGTCTATCGTTTATTGATATCACATTAATTATGTACAAATCACATTTTCATAATAAAATTCATCAGTACATAAAGCAGCATATATAAATACAATCCGATATAACCACTACAAGTATTATACAAAATAATACAAACGTGAAATTAATATAATTTGCTAAACAAAACCAACTTATATAAACCTAATCTTCATTGATTCCCTTCAACGTAACGCTTTCATTACATAAATATTGTAAACAATTTATTACTTATAATCAAACACATTAAATAGTAAACGAATTATTAATTAAATATTAAAATTTTGACAAATATCATATTTGACAATTTTTTCAAATAAATAAACTTGAAAAATATATATAATTTTTTTATTTATTTTATACATTGGAATATTGAAATAGGCCATCATACAAAATGTTTTTATTCTATAAATCTACATAAATATAGCTACCGCAAACTCTCATCATCAAATTAACTAATTTTATAACAACTAACATATACAACATCTATACAACTCCATACAATTTGATATATATATTTTAAAGTGTTGTAAAACTTGTGTTCCATACATAGTTGACATAATGTGTTATTTTGTGTTACAAATGACAAAGACTAAGAGAATTTGCACCAACAAAATGTCTCCGGAGAACTTTTTGTCTATGGTTGTAGAAGATAATACGATAAAAGGTTATGAAAAATTTACGATAAAATAGTAAAAGTAATTAATATGTTTAATTTAATACAAATGTATATACTAACATTATAATTAACTCACAAAATAAAATCTATAGTAAATAAATATAAAGTCTTTTTATATAAAATTCGGTGAAAATTAAAATGTAAACTTAATCGAAATAATTAATGTACTTCTATTTAAGATAACTTCTAGTTAAATGGTTAACGTACGTGTTAAATATTTTCTATATATCAATGTTATGTTTGTGTAATATGTTAATGAATGGTTTATCATAATTTTTTCTAGTTTTATAAATATTTTGAGATCTCATGTGTGACGTATTGACTTTATTAGAATGTTGCCTAGATTTTGGACGCAAGGACTTGCAAGGACGCTTGCTTTTCTCCACAAAGATTTATGTTATAAGTTGAATCTTGTTTGTCTGACAATTCCATCATATTCCCCAATTATATTCAATTAATTATGAATGTATTATAAAATAAATCAAACAGATCAGGTGTTAGTGGCCTGTGTCCGTTATGTCTTGTGCGGCAGGAGGGCAACAAGACGCAGCAGTACGGCGGCGAGGAGGGCGTCGAGAGGGTCGAGGGCGCCGCGCTGCAGCCACTTGGGTATGGTGGTGCGGGCATGACTGAAGCCCAGCTTCTGCAGGATGTAGTCCACACCGTACGGCTCTATCGACTTGCCCGCCCACGACAGCAACCTGCACACCGCATACAATAGACAAACATTCTTGACAGCATAAAGGTTATCCCTCATATAACAAAGCGGAAGTAAGCAGCGATAATATAGCCAAGTTGAAAAGAGAACCTTAAATAATAGTTTTATGGTTGCGAAGGTAATTTTACCTGACAGTGGGCTCGAGGTGCCAGGTGAGACAGCGGTAGTCGCGGTAGTCTTGCGGGGGCACGCCCTCCGCCCCGCTGCCGGCCGCGCCCACTGCGCCCACTGCACCCACTGCGCTGGTGCCGGCGCGCACTCCGCCCGGCATCTGCAACAAATACTAATAATTATAATCATACAAAATCGGACAAAGTTGTATACAACAATTTTCTAGGATGTAACACGATCTCAGTGTAAACTTGTTAACTCACCACGCGGTCCTTCTCCTTGATGTACGATGAGATGAGGTCGTGCAGAAAGAGGAACGCCTCCGCGTCCACCGACACGAAGATGTGATCCTCGAACTCCGTGATGAAGCTGCACTCCACCACCGGCTTCTCGTCTGGCAAAATTGTAAAACCAATTAATTGGCCTCTCGAGACGAATACGTCGTACATGTAAATAGTATAAATACTCGGTTCGTTAGTATATTAGTGGTGACCCACCTTCCTGTGTGGGTGTGGGCGCGCGCTGCAGATGCCTGGTGCGCAGATGCAGCTGCAGTGCGGGCAGCGCGAAGATGACCTCGCGTACGTGCCGCTCGCCCGCGCGCGCCCGCTCCCCGCCCGCGCCCGCGCCGGCCCCGGACCCAGCTGGCGCGGCCCCGCCTCCGCTGCC